TATGGCACACCTTTTCTTGTGGTACACCAGCATTAGCTTTTCCATTAACATTTGAAAGTTTCTCAGTAATAGCTCCAGGGGTCTCATTATGTTTTGGCTTGGTCTAGAGCATGCTGCCAGTATTTCTGAAGCAAATAACGTGCTTTCCCAACTGTATGAGAATGTTTTTAAATACGTTTTTAAGAAAAGATGTTTTCCTTTGCTTTGTGCCTTTAGGTACAACACAACCATGTTTTTAAAGGATGGATTCTGTTCATCAGTGAGAAAAGAACGTATCAATTCCTCTGTCCAAAATGCCTTTTTTCAGGACAATACTTTACTACTATTATTAGACAACTAATACAGAGAACTACTACTAGAGAACATACCCAGCTGTCTATTATAATAATAGAGGACCTGGACATGCGATGCTAAGAGTTACTCTTGTAAGAGACTAACCCATGTCGATACCTTCTAGTTTTCTTCATTATAATAGTCAGTTCTGTCAGCAGTGCAGAATATAAACAATAACAGAGAAAAACAGATCTGTTTGAGATCTGTACCCTAAGACTTCCTTATGAGTATGGTTAGTCATCTGATTCTTTAGCATTGTAGAAAAAAGAAGAGGCCATTTTTGCACCAAATTTGAAATGTTGGTCCACAATACAAAAAAATCCAAAATCAGTGTCATTGCATACCTGAAGCTGTTCAAACTTGTGTTCAGAGTGCCATAGTCACAATTCTTATTAGGCACATCTTAAAAAGCCATCTCAATTGTCCTGTAGTCCTGCTCTCAACTTAACTTCTCACCTAAACTACTTTTATTTCATTCATCCTCATCCCCAAACTTCCGCTCATACAATCAAGAAGCCACCCCACAAACTCTTCTGCAATCCCAATCTTTCTAAATCATGCTATACCCTATTTCAAATCCCTTGTTACTCAAGAATCCCGTATCAGTGCGCCACCAATGCAAACTGAGGCTAAATACCTTACGGATGCAGTGGCTCGACTCCTCTGATTCTGCTTGCGCAGGTGCTGCTATTGTCACTGCCTCTCTAGCACTAGTCACTGCTCTGAGCGCTTCGGTGCCTCGCTGCCTGCCTCCTCCACGACTTCCCTCAACATGGGCTCCTCCACGGGCCAGCAGCACACAGTGCTCCCTACTGGCGATTGGGGCTCTCCTCTGCGTTAGTGCAGCCTCAGCTGTTGGACTGATGGGGTTTTAGCATATATTTACTAAAATCCACCCACACAGCACCCTGAGGGCAAAAGCAAAATACGTGTTTGGGAGAAAACAGGATCTATGGAATACATATTATTAATGAGTCATTATAAAACTGCATAGCAAGCAATATGTATGGTCAGATTCCGTTCCAACACTTGTTTTGGTTCTACAGGCTTCTCTTTCATCTTCCTTCTTCTTGCCTCAGCATGGTTGCTCAAATGCAATTTTTTATGTTTAAGCCTAGCAAATACAACCTATCCAGAAGCCATGAATTTTTCTTACATTTTCCCTTTCTCTGTTACTTTTTGCCATTCTCCTCTATCTCAGAGATTCCTCTTACACTCTCCCCTCAGTAGCTGCGTTTACTCCCAGTTTGCAAGTTGAATGTGTATGAGGTTACAAAGGAAAAGATTAGATTTATTTAATATCCCTTTAAAAGTTACTTCCACCTTTGAACTGAATGGACTTTTTCAGATTACATACACTGCACATGAACTAGCCGCTTCAAAACTACAAGCTTATTTCAGAACCTACCCCACTCCAAAACTATTTAACAATTCATTTCCATTTGATCCTTGAAACAGACTCCATAATCAATATTACATACAATTTTAACATTACTTTTTAAACAACCAGAGCTTAAGTGCTAAGAAAAAACTGCTGTGGCACAGCTGGAAAACCTTCTAGCTCATGAAGATCCCGCTTTCTATTTTCTTCAAAATGCTTTCACAATTAAATTAATGCTTATACTCTTTTTATTCTGTTCAAAGCAGGGAATATTCTACTCCATTGCAATACCTGACAACAAAGTGCATTCTGTTACAAAATAATTTGCCACTATATTTGATAGCATCTTATAGACATGAGTGCATGGTTTCAGCAATGTCTTCTTCATTGTAAAAAATACATTGTTTTAAGTTAACACAGAAAAGACAACATCAAATATGTTATTATTTCTCTAATTTCCTGCCATAAAGAATTTCTTTGAGCTGTGGAAGAACATGAACTGAAACTACGCATTACCCCAATGTTTACAATATAAACTATATATATGTGACTTTGGGGCAGAAAGGGTGTTTTACCTTGCACCATGGAATTGTTTCAGTTTTTGCCTCTCCTATGCAAACAAGATGGCTGTGCACTTATCAGTATATGGGTACAAAGTCCAGTCATGTGAAGTGAAACAGAAGAGTGGAGGGGAAGAAGGACAACACTGAAAAAGATATTTTATGCAAGACTGACAGGATTTCTTGATAAGACACTGCTTCACTAGTACAAAACAAAGTGTTCTCATAATGGATATATAGATATGCTTAACTAAGATGCTTGTTTTAGTTTGTTACTGAAGATCTCCTGTTAGAGTTTTTTGTGAATTTGCACTGTATTTTTGGAAAATAAGGGCTATGCCAGAAACTCAAGTACATTTCTGCCTTCCGTACACATGGGAAGCATTCCTACAGAATATTTACATAGCAATTTTGTACAAACTACACTGAAACACCTTTTAAAGTATAATTTCAGATCAGCATTTTTCAAACTTTTGGAGGCACAGAATATTTTGAGATTCTCTTTTTATAAATACCATACGCTATAGCCCATCCTGGTTTCTTTAATATGCATTGTCTTAGAAACTATATGTGCTCCCAGAAAATGACTGCTTCCAGAAAGCCCAAGGACCCTAACATGAAAAATCATCCATTAAACTTCAAAAAGTCCTAGCTAGTTGACATATTACCTTCCTTCTTAGCTATTGTCCTCCTCACCCCAATTTATGTATTTGTCACAAAGAAATTTGATCAGGAAGAGAAAGATGGATGTCCAAAGATTTGTGACAACTACTGCTGGTGAAACTTGACAGAATCCAAGCCTTACAGCCTAAGTATGAAATTTTACTTTTCTTCCAGGCAAAACCTAAGAGCTCACAATGACTCTGAGAAATCAAATTGAACCAAGATTTTTGAAAAGCTGCCTAAATGCAAAGTTTAAATTACATTTTTCTGTGGTTCAGGAAATCAGTACAGCTTGTCCTGAGCTTTCCTCTGCATTTTTCCTCTGTCTATTTTAAAATAACATTCCACATTAACAACTTTTAAAGAATTTTAAATTACCCACCTTTTCTCCATCTCAAATGCTGATAGGAAATGCTAGCCCTATCTTAAGCCTTTGAAAAATTGCACTATTGTCTTGCATTTATTCAAGGCTTTCGTAAGCGAATATAAAAAACATTTTCAAAAAATATTGTCAATCTCTCTAAAATAAATAGCCAATTGCTTTTAATCCCTTTGATTAATTATATTTTTAGATTAATAATATTTTAGAAGGTATTAAAAAAGCCCTGTATATAGACAAAAGAAGCAGTACTAGAGATACAACAGATGAGAAGCAACATCTACTGACAAAACACATTTCTTGCGTACATACACTGCAGCTCTTAAATGCATAATAACTACTTACAGTAAATTTTATTAATACAAATTATTACTGACATTCATTCAAAACCTTATGATTATGTAAATTAGAAGAAAGTAATGATAAAACAAGGATATGTATGACAAAATATAGATAAAATTGATGAAAAGCAGACTGGTCTATGTGAATTAGCATGACAATTTAAGGCATTTGATATGGAAAACTAAAATGCAATGTATAAAGATCTATTCATTCTAATTATAACAGTATGCAAAAAATTACAATGAGGTAATGAGTGTAAAAATAAACATCCTCTCATATCTGAGTAGTGAAGGAAGACTGAATAGAGGGGGTTTGTTTGTTTGTTTGTGTTTCTTTTCTGTGTTTGATTAAACATCACTAAAGGGTGCTAAAGTGACAATTACTTGCTGACTTCAAAGCTTAAGCAGGAGTGAAAACGGAAATGCCAACAGGGAGGCAGCATTTAGGCATGGCCAAGAGAGTACTACGTCACCCAGTAATGTAGTCTCCAATGATCCATGTTACTTAACAGATTATATTTTCCATTTTGGCCAACAGGTGTTTTTGTGGTTTGGGTTTCTTTTTCCACACGGAAACACAGAGTCAGATATGAACACAGAGTCCATTTTTTTTCTTTCATAATATGTTAGAAACATTATTTTTTAAGGTGCCTTGGACTTCCGGTCACAAATTGGGAGCCAGTATCTACTGATATATTTATGAATGTTCATATGTATAAAAGAGTTCAATTCATTGAACTGCTAAAGGAAATTATGGTTTTAATTAGTGTTTGGGATGAAAAGGAGGAAGAAGGATGCATGACTCCATTTACTAAAATTTAGTGGTAAAGCAGAGCTGCAGCAAGTCAGACCCTTTGTTTCAGTTCATCAAAACATCTCCGCCAAAGTTTTAGAAGCTTAGGATCCAACTTCATCACACTATGTTCATCTTCCATGTACAGTCCAGTGTCTTGGTAAAAACAAAACATGGTACACTGCTATCTTAACCTGCCTACACGTTGGTGCACGTGTAAATGCTTCTGCTTCCAAATAAATCTGCTAATACAAACTTGTATTTTATTTAGATTCAAATGAAACATAGCAGCAACACAGCTAAGATGAAACAAAAGGTATTTGTTAACTTATCATAGCGAAACGCAAGGAATATAGCTAATTTCAAAGGATATTTTTGAAAGACACTTACCCAGAATTTAAAGATAACAGTTTTGCTATTCTAGGGACTATGTACAATTGGGTTATTGGATTCTAGAGAACATTAAAAAACCTCCAGTGAGAAAAGATGCTTAAACTTCATTCTTCAGCTTAGTCCAAAAAAACATTGGCAAGTTTCCCTCTGAAAATTGTGTAGTCATGTAGGTATCTTGATAGAAAGTTATTACATGAACTTGTGAAATCTGTGGATTGCAGAGGACTTTATACAGCTCTGAGGAAGTCCCAAAACCTTTTGTACATAGAACTCTATGACACTGTCTAAAGGTTTGGTCTAAAGGTTTTTTTAATGGTTGTGATTAACTTTTGTTAAGACTTACACATGGGAGTTTAGCTGATGTGTTGGCTATGCCATGCAAGAATAAAGATTCAGGTTTTATAGTTGCTATAACCACAGTTTCTGACTATCAAATAATACTTGTCTAAGGTACTGCAAGTCATAAACAAAACATGATTTTTAAACAAAGATGGGCTTGAACAGGTAGGAAAAATATTTTTCATTTGATCAACAAGATCATTTATTTTATTCCCTGGATGTGATGAAGTCAGAAAAAGCATATGAATATTCATGTCCCCCCACTTTGTCAGGTCCTTCAAGAATCAACAATCACCCAAATATTGAAAAATTGAAATCAGGCAGGGTTTTACTTTATTTCCACCAACTTCAGAAAGTTCACCTAGTTGATGGTTGATGACAAGAATGCCACATCCTGAACGAAGCTCTATGCCCCCTGAAGCCTGTAGGCTTTCCTCCATGATCTGCAACTCCAGAATACACCCTAACCATGCCCCATTTCAAGACCACAACAAAAGCTTAGTTTTGGCATGGTACATTACGATATATAGCCATCTTAATATTAAAAGTCTTGTTAATAGCTTTTGGAAAATCGTATTACTCTAATTTTTCCAGATGAGAGCATAACTATTAGCATAAAAAGGAAAAGTCAGTGAAAAACAGATTATGAAGCCAGGCTGTCAAACACAGTCATTAATATAATACTTATTCCCTTCTGCTTGCAGCAGTCACTGGTCTAAATGACACATACAACATTTCCAAAACCAGGATACAACAATTCATTCTGCAGCACAGATTCTTGCAGATATCTGCCTCATTAGGCTTGCAAGATAGTAGTTTTTCATACTTAAAAATGCGTAAAGAGATTTTGAACTGTATGAAGAGGTAATAAGCTCTTAATGGGCTAGAGATACTGTCCCTGATCTCTTTCACTGAAGCATGACACTGACTCTTCTTAATTAGTGAAACTACATATAGAAGCAAACCATAAAGAACATTTTAAATTGGAGAAACAGCAACAAAAGTTTTGAGCTTTTGCCTTGGCACAACATGGGGTACAACCTGACTAATCAGCAGTAAAAACCAAACTATGGCAAAGACAGTAATTCAGCTCTTATGTTAATTCAAAGGTGGTGATCTATCTGGGACTAAGAAGGCAAAAAATGACTTTCTATTTGTCATTTATAAACCCCACAGCTACAATAAATGTCCTCATGTGCTGGACTTCTCTAAGGATACAGAAAACCTAAAATGCTGAAGAGTAATCAAAATACTAAAAGCTTCAGAAAGCATAACTTACAGCAATAGATTAAAGAAATGAAATTTGTAAGACAAAAAAAAAAGAGTAGAGGAAAAACACAGGATATCCTAGCAAAGCAAAAGATTCACTGAAAGATTCACAAAATTTTAAGCATAATATCTGGACAGATATTTTAAGCCTATACAATTCTATTGCAAAGAATTCATCTAGAGCTTGAATGTCTCTTGTGGTCTTACCTATAAGTACATGAAATGGAAATATAGGACTCTTTTAAACCTCTGGTGTCAGTGTAAGCAATCATTCACTTTACAGAACTCAAGGTGAAATGTTTGAGATTACCTGATTAGAGGAGCTAGCTCACTTAGGGAAAAAAGTCAGGGCCTGATTGGCTTGACAACACTTGAACTTCATTGCATTCTTCTAGGACTCCCTAATATCTAACCACCTAACTGTATTAGTATTTATGAGTGGTGTTCCTTGTTTTATAAATGTCTTATGAAAACAAGAGACTGCTATTGGTCTTCTACAAAGAACAATTCAATTGAAAGTCTAAAGCAAGAAAAAAAGCTACATTGTTTCCTTATCTGTTTTGTTACAATACACAGAACCTAATTCCTTAAGATAGGTAAACATAAACTGAACTTAAAGTAAGTGGACAGCTTAGTGATGGAACTATTTCCTCGCCCAAAAATTATTCAGCGCCTTACTTGGTAGTGGTAACAAAGCCTATTTGCCATTGCCTGTACACAAGAGCATGTTCTGAGGTATACTACCAGTACTTTTGTGTGTCTGTACATGGGAGAAGGAGAACAGAGCAGTAGCTTCTGGGGCAAGAGAATTCAAAAAATTGAATTATGACTTGTTTGGGAGGCACACTAACTGGCAATCAAGGAAAAGTCCCAGCTTCCACAGTAAGGAACAGCCTGGATGTCTAATACAACTCTGCTGCAATGGGGACTCAAGAAGCTGGCTAAGTCTGCTTGGCATTGCCCCTTCTCCTCTCCGCACCATTTCTTCTTCCTGATCAGAGTTGTTATTTTTTATATGTATCAGTACAGTACTATTGCTTTTCTGCCTAGGTAATTCTAGAAGCTGAGAATCACTGCAAAGAAAAAAAGGTCACAGTTCTGTACAATAGCTGGCCTCCAGCTACCTCCCTGCACTTCCCAGGCTGTCAGCATGTTCTTCCTGATCATGCAGCCATTCTGGGCTGAGTGTCAGCCAGTTCATTTATTTCTACTCAAATCTTCTGGATAGATACAAACTTTTAAGGGCACACAGCCACAGAGTAGGCAGAATGTCTGAGCTCTGGAGATTCAACTCCCCAGCTTGTTGCATCCCAAAAAGGGAACGTGCATATAAAACCTGAACATGAAGCAGCATTACAGATCAGTGGCTTAGAGACCTTGTGATCCTGAGAATCACAATTCCTTCTCTCTCTTCTCCATCTGAAGATCTAATTACCACAGCCTTTGAAAAGTTTGAGCTTCGGAACCCAAGGCTGAAAGGGACCACTGGAAGGGTGACTGCATTCAGTTTCACCTTTACTGCCAGAAACCAAGTTATAGATGACTTGCTCAGAAAGGTTCACAGAATGTGCATTCCACATGACAGCAGAAATACAAAACCTTTTGATTAATCTGTAACAATCAAACTGTAGTAAAATGAACAAAAAAGCAATTAAATCCACATGCAGACAAGACATAAAACCAAGTTAATAACAAATATTTTAAGTTCCAGTAAGAATGGGAAGTTAGATAAATAAATGAAAGTTATACCATAACAAAAAAAAGTTACAGCAAATCCATATCACAGGAAAAATAAAGCAGGATACAATACTTCATATAATATCTGGAAATGCAATCCCTTCTGTTCTAACCTTCCTGATAGTTTAAGGCTAAGCAGGACCCAGCCATTAGGCACTTCAGGATTTTCATTACAATGACACACTGCTAATTACCTGAACAGTTTGCCTGTTTGCAGCCAATATTTTATTAAAAGACCAAAAAAGTATGTCAACAAGCTAAGTCACAATCCATAAAGGAGAGTAAACGGTTCTCAGTGACCTTAACAAAAGCAATAATGGCCCTAAAGCATGATATTAAATCTTCGTTTCCCAGCTTCAGAAACTTTGTTCTGTTGTACAATCCCACCAATAAATACAGCAATTGACATCTAAAAATGAACCTTTCTATAGTGCCTCATCTAAATTTACTGAGATGAACACATGTAACACATATCTTCACTTCATTCTCCTGCAGCATAACACATCATCTTCCTTGCCTTTGTAACTATCTCACCTGTAACTGGTTGTCAATACCAAAATCTAGAAAACACATGGCTCTCCTATCCCTATTTGCCTGGCTGAGAGAAGACACATGTGATTGATTAAAAGAGCATATACACCCTTTTAACTTATGTAATCAATAAAACATGACCTAGATCAGGAGTTCCATGGTACTATTTAATTGCTTTAAGACATATGGTCATCTTCCATTTTGTACCTACAAAAACATGAACTGAAACAATACAAATCATGTAATTCATAATCTTGAGGTGAAAAGCTCATGTTTGGTGACATCCAGCACTCAGAGGGGTTTCATTTTCTGAAGGCTTATAGGCTTAACTATAGCAACTGTTGAGAATCTCAGCTGATACCTGAATTTACATTTAATTCTTAATCATTCCAAGTAATTTGTTCCTAATAGTGGGTTTAACAGCTGTTTATGTAAAGCATTATGAAAGCTTTTAAACTACTGGATTTATTCAAGTCTTTCGATTCTTTTTTAATACTCAAACCAAAATGGATTATAATCTGTTTATCCTCTTTGTCAAGGCGCCTGCAGAAAAAGAAAAATAAAGTCAGTCATTTCTGTGTGAAACACATAGTGCATGATGCTCCTATGAATGGCATAAAAAATAGGTAAGTGAATTGGTGCTTCGAGCACAGTATGAAATAGTGAAATAGGAAACTGCAATTACTGAATCAAATGTATTACCTATGAAAACACTTAAGTATATTCTGGCGCTTTTACTCTCCAGGAAAGAACTCAGTCACATAAATTTCAGTGAGGTACAAAACTTCCAGCTTCAAAGTAAAGAAAACTCAAACAAATATAGAAGTTTAAAAACTATTACAATTACCTAGTATATAAAACATTGTGTTGCATACTTAATAACCCCACAGCACCTATTTTCACTTTATCTCACATTCAAGAACAATAAAACCAATGAGATTTTAACATATTATTACAAAACCAGAGAAAATAGATTTGTTTGGCATTAAGTACAGCTACCTACAGGCAGCTAATTTAAAATGTCCAGGTGTTTACAAAACTGGACATCCATATATATATGTACCTTAAAACACCATATATCTGCTTTGGTGTATCCCCAGATAGCAACAATTATTTTTACAATGTACATGAAGTTAAAATTGTGCTCTTCAAACTTTCCAGGATTCAAGTCCAGTTACAGAATTACATCTTAATTGTTACATTGAAGTTCATTCTTCTCAAGAATAGGCATACGTCAGGTCTGTAGGAATATAATTAATTATTGGTGTTCATAACTACTGCGCTTCAACTACAATATGCTTCCCACAATTCTAAAGTTATTGAAATCCTCATAACTCAAAGCCAGCTTCAAATAAGTAATAAAAAATAGCAGCAAGCAAAAAATCAATTCTACAATTCTTAACATCAAATTTTCAAAATCAAATTTTCACTCCCTTTCAAGGAAAAAATAACCCAACAACAAAACCAAATACTACTGATGAGTCGTTAGATACAGATATTTAAGACCGCTCAAACAAAACTTAGATCAGCACAATTTCTTCCTTATGTATTTAGAAAATTATGCTCTACCATGTTACTTGGACTTTTACTTCATTTCATTCTGTTAGTAAAAAGACTTAATCACACAGAATAAACCTAAACAGTTTTCTATCTTGGGAAGATTTTCCTGTGTTTGAACACAGCTTTGAAGAATCAAGTAAGCTAACATCACACTGATTATCACTGATGAGCCAGAGCAAAGCAAAGCAAATTGAGGTCATCAGCCTGTCAGCAATGTGACAGTCCTGAAACGTGTACCATAGGATTTGTAACCCAGACCATTTAACCCTAAAAATGTTCAGCTTCTGTATTACACTTTAATTTTGTGGGCTACTTTCACATAGATTGCCTACGACTTATTTCCACTTTAAATATTGAAGAGTTTTGCAAAACCCTTGTTTTCTCAGATGAACTAGGAATTTACATGCTAAAAATAGTAATTTTCTCCCCTTTTTAGGAGCTAGAAGCAATGGAAGTTGTGATCAAATACTTTTTTCTAATTAGAACAATTAATCAAGGTAACAAGAAAAAGCTACATCTGTTGAATAACACATGAAGGTTTTACTCTGTCACCATACATACAATTAAAAAGCAGATTTGTACAATATTTGTTAATTAGAAAGTTAATAAATCTGCCTCAGGTACCACTGTCATACAACATCATTACCCATCCCCTTTAAATATTTGTCTCTTACAGCAGAATCACATTCTTTCTCAGGACAGTGCAACACAACCATTATAACTACTGAAATTACTATTTTTTAATTGCCTTTAAGAGGTTAACACCTTTCTTGACCTACTGTATTTATGATTTTACCTCTATTGATTCTAGCTATGCTCCCACCTAAGTGTACTACAAAAGAAACTATAAATGTTTGCTGGAAACAAAACTGGAATATTGACTTGTTGCACAGTATTTATTGCAGAAACGAAACAGCCGTGGGCATTTTTAATACTCATATATTGTAAGGTTACAAAAAAACCCCCTCAAAGCTTAGGAGCCATTTCCTTAAATCTACACAGGAACAAATTCCATGACTACATACGGAATTTTTAAAAGATATTGAAGGTACTGTGCACAATCCTTTTCCTATCCTACACAGAGAGGGCCTAAGCAGCATTATCATTACAGAATGAGACAAAATAAATAAGAGAAAACCAACCCAAAACTCAAAAAAATGTTGTTTGAAAGTCAAGTTTTATTATTCAAAAAGTACAAGTAAAGGCCAAGGATGTTTTATTTGACTTATTTCCCAAACAGGAGAAGGTGTCAGGAGAATTCTGTGTCTACATTTCACACAAATGTAGGGTGAATGTACTTTCAAGGGACAGGTTTTGGGGGTAGGTAAGATGCTTAACAACCCTAAATTAAAATTCAAATATAGCTATGTGACACCTACAGTTAAGGCTTTAATGGCCCCCACTAACTTGCTAAAATGGTGAAACGTTGCCAATTCAAATGAAGGCACTGTTAGGAAAATGGAATTGCTGCAATGCCTACCTACAAATGAGACAGGAGGACTCCCCCTATGTGAAGCTGCAACCAACCACTACCCTCACACAGAATGGCACAGCAGTACACATCTTCAAGCCAGTATGTCACCTTGCGAGCCTGGTTCAGCTCTTTTCATGTCTGCCTCTGCAACTGGTGCTTCAATGATCTTGATGCCCAGTGGAGAGTTACCTGCATGAAAAAATACAAAAGGGAAAAATGATGAGTAGGTGCCCTCTTTCCCTCCCAACTGCCCAGTAAAAATTGGGTGAAGTGTCCATGCAGGATGATTTTGTTTCAACTTAAGAACAGTCTTGTTTCTTGAACTTCAGAACTTCCTGAATGTTTCAGAAAAAAACATACAACACCCAAAACAGCTTTCAATTAACCATTCTTGCACACAGCAACCTGTAAGAGATAGATTTACTCCCTTCTCACAGATTTTTTCTCTCCATTACTTTACTCATCCCTCACAGTTTTACACAGATCTTTTTGTTTCAACTATAGTCTGGTGGTAATAGTACCCCTGTAAATCTCTACACAGGTATGCAGAAGAGACATCGTCTAACACATCAACGTGAGAGCAACTGTTCTGTATTTCCCACCAGCAGCACCAAACAGGACTCAGGAATCACAAAACAGGTCTGGTTGGAAGGGACCACCATGGGTCGTCCGGGCCAACCTCCCTGCTTAAGCAGGGTCATCCCAAAGCACGCTGCACAGAATTGCATCCAGATGGCTCTTGAATGTTTCCAGAGAGGGAGACTCCACAACCTCTCTGGGCAAGAAGCGCTGTTCTGCAAGATAAGAGGCCCCAAGAAGAAAAATGGACTTTGCTTAAAAAAGTAGAACAAGACAGAACAAAGGTCCGGCAGGTCCGGCAGGCCCGGCCCGGCCCGCCCCGGGTGCCGCTATAAACCGCCGCCCTACCCCGATCTCCCCGTTAGGTTTCCGGCCTGGCCAGTCTCGCACCGCGCGGGCTCCATCTGCCTCGGCTCCTGCTCCTGCGCCCCGGCTGCTCTGCCTCGCCATGGCCGCTTCCTCCTCCTCGGCGACCGCGCTGCGCCCGGTCACTCACCTGATCTTTGACATGGACGGGCTGCTGCTGGGTGCGTAGCCTGAACCCCTCTCCCTTCCACGGCCAGGTCCCCGCTCCGCCCCGCGCCGGTGGGTTCCACCGCGCCACCAGGCCCGGCCCGCCTGCCCCGACAGCGAGGGGCCGTAGCTGGCGGCGGGCAGCCTCTTTCCCTTCCCTTTCCCCTCCCCTCCGCCTCCCGCGGCCGGAGCAGCCCGGGCTGTGGCTGCTCATTCACGGCCTCCTCGCTCCGGGAGAGCAGCCAGAACGCCCCGGGCGGCGCTGCTAAAACCAGGGTGAAGGGATTAAAGCAACAGGAAACGAGTTAATTTCTTCTCCTGCTTCCTCTACTTGCTGCCTTTCGGGCGCAGATTTCGCCTTAAAGTAACAGACCAGGGGCTGGGCGTGAGCGGGGCGCTTGCGCTGGCTGGCGGAGGGCTGAGCAGGCTGGGGTGGCTGTGGGGAGAGCGGTGAGGGGCGGGCTGGGGCTGGCAGCCAGGGCGAGTGGGTGGGGAGCAGAACGGGCATGCGGCGTGCGGCTGAGGGACCCCCGGGCCGCGCACTGCCGAGGGCCGGGAGCCGCGGGTCTCCGAGGGCTGGACAGCGCTCGGCAGCCTTCAGAGCTACCTTCTCCAGCTGATGAGCCTGGACACCACTCTGATAGTTTTCTCTTAGTTTTGGTATTAGTAGACTTTCTGCTTTGCAGGGTTACTGTATAGCATGATGCTTCCCCTCCTGCAGCTCGATTAGATATGGATGTTTGAATAGTCGCTATAACCAGGACAGTTTTTAAGTCTGCTCTTAACTATTCGCTGAATCAGGACCCTCTGATGAAGAATAATGAAATATTTTGGCATGTGACTTAGTTATATTGAAATAGTTATTGTGAGTTATTACACAGGAAGCAGTTTTGGATATACGTGAATTCCTAAAAGGTGTGAACTGGAGGTGTGTGCCTTCTTTCTACAAAACCTGAATTGTTGCAATTTCTGGGAAGACTGCTGTGAAGTCTGATGAATTACACTGTGTTTCCAAGAAAGGTGCTCTTTTCCCTCCTTCAGAGCTATAAGAGGTGAAGGTGATCCACATTTACCTTTTAAAACAAAAATAGCTATGCTATGCAAAACAGTGATTGAGTTGCATTTAGATTTTAGTTACATTTTCGACTTCTCTGGAGTCTCAGACAGCCTGGGGATACACACACACACGTATATATATATATGTGTGTGTGTGTGTGTGTGTGTGTGTGTGTAATCCTGTAATCTAGAACCAGTTATTTTAATTTCATTCTTAGAAGTGTCAGGAAAGCTTTTTTTTCGTTACTACTGCTCTTTGTCAGAAGGTGAAATCTCCTTCACACAGACAATAGTCAACTTAATGGGATGGTATTGGTAATGATACATATATGTCACTTCTTCTATTTTAAAAAGTTACATATAAAGTATGTATTGTATTTCAGAAATCTTTCAGCTGCAAGGAATTAGACTGAAAATACTCTTCAAGTATCTTCCAGTACAGAGGAGTAAAAGTGACGTTATTTTGGTGACTTTCATTCTGTGCACTTCATTTCAGAGGACTTCAGTATGTTTCAGCCTCTGAATACTATGAAACGTTTAACATTCTTGGTGAGCCTATTTGTTTCATGGTGAGCAGTGATCCTTGGGAGGCAAAAAGGCATTCAGGAGACTGCTTGGACTTTCCCAAGATTCCTAAATGTTTCAAGAAATTTGGAATGATTTGGGGGAAAGACTGATAAAAGGCATGCACAAATTAGATTCCCTCTGCCCAACCTACCTACTGTAAATCTTCTGTATGAGACAAATGTTCATATTGATGTTAACCTACATAAGAACCCTGTAATTTTCTTAAGAATTTTTTAATGTGTTCATTGGAGGTTATAAAATGAATAACATATATATTTCAAGAAGCTACAGAAATGGCCCAAATGTACTTCCTTTCAAAGGGCACAAATAAAAGTTTTGTTATTGAATATCTATTGCTAATTTTTTTAAGTGGTTGGTTGATTGCATAGTTTCAAATCAAATTTAGACATTTGATTGCAATTTTTAGAATCTGAAGCTTCAGGTTTTGCAAAAATTTTTCCAAAAAAAGTAGTGTTTGCAAATGTACATGATTATTTTTATATGTTTTCACCTAAACCCTACTGATCTTATCGAACAAATATAAATTGATCTATAAATGATGAGAATAATTGAGCATTAAGTTCATCAGATGTGATGTGCTATGAACTTGCTTTCTGTAATTGACATACTTCTGATTAAGAAAGGTAGGATATCTTCTGATAGACAGATTTCCAAAATCTTTGTGGGTATAAAGTCCTTAAATGAGGAGTTCACAAGGTTCTTGACTTTGGAAAAAATCCAAGTGTTACCCTATAAAACCTGCAGCCTATACTTTACTGGCTAATCCTTGGCTGTGTGAAAGTGTTGCTGAGTCTGATCAACTGATATTTTATCTCCCCCCTCCCTCTAATATAATTGAGGCTGATTAAGTTGTCCTTGAGTTGCACCTTGGTGTATCAGCTTACTTTCAACACAGAAGTTATTGCCTCTGAGCTGCCTGTGGAAGTCCTTCAGCCCTTTCATTCATAGTCCTTCTGTATCATTGTTTCAAAGGTTATCTAACACCAGTTTTTTCTGCATTCCCAATCAATGCAATGTACTCTTCCTTTTTTTTTATTACCTAATCTTTCCCTTTGAGCTCTTGGATGAAGTCTTAGGGGTGATCACGCACTGTTCACCTGTCTGTCAGCCTCCTTTGTCTGCATTTCTAATCAATGCAATCTACCCTTCCTTTTTTTTATTACCTAATCTTTCCCTTTGAGCTCTTGGAAAGAATCTTAGGGGTGATCACGCGCTGTTCACCTGTCTGTCAGCTTCCAGCAGGCTCCTCTCCATAGGGGTCTGTCGCGTGACACCTCCTCCCAAGGTCAGGTCAGCTCTGTGCCGCCATGTGCTTCTGCAGGTGCGTGCCACAGCCTGCAGCTCAACTCCATCCCATCCTTAGCATAAGCGTAAGGTTCATTGAGTCCAGCTCCTTGCAGGACTTCTGAAAACTAAAGCAGAGGACTGAGAACCTTGTCCAAATGCTCCTTGAACTCTGACAGCCTTGGTGCCATGATGACTGCCTGGGGGAGCCAGTTCCAGTGACTGATCACCCTCTAATTAAGTATCATAACTGATTAGTGGTGCACTGTGTAGTACAAAGGAAGGAATAACTACATCTCAATTTTTGTTGTACTGCTGTACTTTCTCAAAAACAACAACAACAACAAAAAAAAAACAAACAAAAAAACCAAGACAACAACAACAAAAAAAACCACAACAAAACCTCCCAGCACTTTAATTAAGGCATTACATTTCTTAAGTTAAATTTCTACTTGATTTCCTACAGCAAATAATGACATTAAATGCTCAGAATAGTAGATTGCTTTTTCTTAAAATGCGGTAGTCTGTACCTACAGAAGAGTACTGTTCTAACCGCTAGCATGTGGTATAGTTAAAAATACTAAAATAATCTAAATATTAATAAATAAATAAATTAATAAATATAATAAATTAATTAAATATAATAAATTAAATAATAATATTAGAAATATTAAACCTACCTATGCACTTATCCAACAAATAGTACAGGGTTAATAGAAAATAAGAATAACAACAACAACAGAAACTAGAGTTATTTGATTCCTAAATAAGTCCGGTTATTATAGTTGTACAGTTTGGATCCTGGCATTTTAGCATATTGTATAAACATACAAAATCAATGCTAAAGATAGAGAAGAAAAAAATCTATTAACTTGTGCAAAATATAAAACCAGAGCAATGCCCCCCAGGAGCTATCTTATAAACTCACTGCATAAGTTTCTTTTTAAGCTATGACAAGTAGCTTAAAAAGCTACAATTGTTATATAATTGTAGCCAATAGCTACCCTACTACCAAAACACAAATGGGATTGAATGTTGCCTTTCATGATGTGTGCTTAAATTTATAGGGGGTGGAAAACATTTAAAATTCTCTACAAGCTACATGTAGTGTGAAAAACACATTCACTCTCTTGTGAAAGTTTAAAAATTTTATTAAAGGACAATAGGAGATATGGACCATAAAGCAAAGGTTATTACGGCCAGGTGCATCTTGGCACTCGTCTAAGACCACACCATCACCTTCAGGGATACCCCTTAAATACCTTTTCCCTTACATCAGCTTGTTGTATGTTCATAGATCCATATGCATATCCATAAACTAGTTTACATTTTCCAGGAACTATTTTACACAGCTCCTACTTGGGTCCGCCTTTTAAGAGCATGCATGTTTTTGGGCTGTGGTTTTGGCTCCTCTTTATCACTTCTAGTCTGGGCCTTGGCCCATGCTTCCTTCAAATGGTGAGCGCTGATATTTGGCATATCTGTAGCAGGTGTCCTCATCCTGTGTTTATTGAATGTTATCCCATCCAGCAGGCATTTAACGCAAGCATAGCTATTTCACTATGTCTAAGCTTAATTAACAACAGAAATACAAACTATATCTTTATAACAAAGTTACTTTAACACCACGCATATAAAACCCATTTTAATACTTGCAAAAAGGCAATATTAAAATATGTATCTATTACGTGTAATAGTAACCTTTCCCAACTGACAAATGAACTAAGAAAATGGCTGCAAAGATAAGATATTTCTTAGCATTGTGCTTAAAGCTGAACTAGAGCTAAATTAACATGCAAAGAGCATAACACTTTAGTATAGGAAGTTTAGTCATGTATTTATTTTTGTTTATATTTCTCATAGGAGTAAGGATTGTTTCATGTAAATTATTATCCTTGTCAGTGCTCCTTAGTGTTGGAAAAGAGTATCTTTACATGAGATAAATCGGTGTGTTCACATATGAGAGATGGTTCCTAAAGCAGCTTAGTTTTGTAAGATACCTTCACCATAACTCAAAGTCATGTTGGACTGCACAGGCACAGGTATGCCAGCTAGTGACCATTTCCAGAGGGATGAAAAGTAGTTAAGGCAATTGGGATCAGAAGTTGCTGCTTTAATAGCCGCTGTCTCATTTGTGTAGAGACCGCTGTGTTTTGTGCCACTTCTAAGACACTTCTGCATGGCTGGCCAGACAGGTCATCTCTGGTCTATAATATAGAA